TAACTATATTACAAGTGTAAAGCAAAACTGAGAAAACTGAAACATAGAGTATAACAAAGAATCCTTTCAAAATTATGAAGTTGAAGACAGGCATTTAAGTTACCAGTGTAAGCAAAATTTTGTCAACTACAGGAGCACCCATAGTTCTTAGCAGATGCTTGTGTAGGATTGCCTGGAAACAGGAAAGAAGATTCTACCATAAGTAGATGATACTGATTTATTGGGTGGCAATCAATCTTGTGAAGATAATGACTGTAGCAGCTTACAGAGGTAGCAGGATCATCCTCAAATACATCCAGAGATTTTTCATAGAGTTGCATATCCAGGACAGCCTGATGACAATAGACAAATACATTAAAAAATATCAATAGAAACGCAGAAAGAAAAATAACATATGGATGGGTGGTCAAAACTCAAAAGAAGATTACCTCATCTAGCTGTTTTTGCAGATTATCAAGCAAGCGCCGCCTCCTTTCAGCATTTTCTGACAGCATAGTGTTCCTTTTCTTCATCCATGCGTCCATAAGCATTGGCCTCAGGTGGGAAGACAGTAATTTAAGTGGTCCATTTAAGTCATCTGAGCCTGAAAATAGTTAGAATTCTAGAATTAAAATTTTAAACACAGTAGAAACAATCATGTCAATGTTGTTAACTTCCTGACCTCCCAACTCTTCTAACTCTGGAGCAACAGTCAAAACTTTTTGCTCTATCAAATCATCTGGAAAGATGTTTGTATTGTCCTCTTTCGTTTTCTCTGATGCTTTTTTACCACCATGTTTTGCATCACCAGAAGAACCAGCATCCTTGTTTTTCCTATGAGCTTTCTTGCCCTTGACAGGAATGCTTTCTTCATTGTCATCATCCTTTTCAACTGCAGCACCTTTGGCAGAACCCGAAACTTTCCCTCTTTTCTTCTTTGGACCTTTGTCAGATGAAGCACCTATACTGCTGGTGTCATTATCACCAAGATCTTTTCCATCAGATCCTATCCTATGTTCACTGCTCATATTCGAGGGTTTTCCTTGTCCAGCACTATGCTTAATGCCAAACGAGTCCATCTCTTTCTCAAGTCTATCAAAAATACCCTAAAATGGTTCAAAGGACAGAAAATTACACTCATTTAGATATATAAGGGACATGAAAAAAAGGATATGAATGCATCAAAGATTTTAACAAATCCATGAAGCGGGACTTGACAATTCACCTTGATGAATGCATTACTGAAGACACATGATTCTCCAAATACCACTGCTTTAGAAGACTGCAAACAAGTATTTTAATGAGTTATCATGAAAAATCTACAAAATTGAACTACTTTAAAGACACCAACCTTGATCGCTTTCTGCAAAGATGGACAGAGAGACAATATCTTGGTTGCATCAGGGCCAGTGATATACGATGGAAGGACTGAAAGAGCATCAATCCTGAAAGAATAAAGGACACATCAAAGATAGGCAATGAGAGAAGTCCAGGGCACATCAGCAAAACAGATTACTCCGAACAATCAATTAGGAAAAAGCTGCAAAAAAACATGTTGGCACTACTAAAAAGGTTTAGGCCTCTCGGTCAAATCTCATCTGTGTAAATGACTTTCTGTGAAGTGTGGACTGAAGTTAGTTGTTAGTCTATCTCCATATATTGTTATAGCTTGATTAGCTTACTCCCTTTCCTTTTCTCATGTTATATCATATAAACTCTTTGTAATAGTTCTGAAGTTCCAACCATGTACACAGGGAGAACATCAGCAAATTCAGCTCTTTTTTTATATTTTAGTTTGGAGCTCATAGCAGATAACAGTGACAAATCACAATTAACCTTGGAGGAGACATGAAATTTAACAATACCATTGTCCATTCTCAATTGTATCACCCACGGCAGCATCTAGCATATCAACAACAGAAGGATGAACAAAAACAGCTTCCAGTGCAATACCATCTGGATATCTGGCCTATAGAAGAGAACAATATTGTTAATATAAACATACCGATGATTTGAACAGTAAAGGCACATTAACAGCTTCCATTACCTCCAAATACTGTTTAGGCTGAGGAATTGCTAGTTTCTGAAGCACTTCGTATCCGATGTAAGAGTTCTGAAAGAAGACAAATAAGTTACAAACAGGAGATAATGCATAACTATATTTTAGCATATGTTTCAGAATTCAATATCCTTGCTAAATATCAGACCTAGAGATTTAATTTTGAGTAACAACATATGGTAAAGCTGTTCGCCAGTTTGTGCATGAGCACGCACAAGGAAGAATATGTCCAGTGGTTATATATGAAATACCCATGCAAAGTTGTCATCTTGCCCAGATAAATATATGGTCCAGTTGCGCTACTAATGCTTCTAACATATTATAAATTGTAGGAACTAAATTATAAGTTGGAAATTTCTTGATTTTGGAGGATTTTGGTGGTTTGTTTTCTTTCCTTTTCCATCTCCACGGCAGTGGGTGTCTTGTAAATATTTAAACCTCTTCTTCTTAATGTAATGATATGATGCAGTTCTCTTGCATAATTGAGAAAAGAAATTTCTTAACCTGTGAAAAAAAGGCATCAACACTCTCCTTTTGAGCATGTGCAAAAACCTAAAAAACAAGAAAATCGCCACAATGTCAAATATAGCTTAAGTGTTAAGAATACGAACTAAAAAAGTACGGATCTTACAGCTGGTGTCCACTGTACTCCTGCACGGACTGATCCAAGCACAACACCTTCTTTCAGTAAGCCATTGAAAATGGACTGGAAGAATGAACCTTCCACAGAAACTCCACTAGCACCATGCATTTCTTGGAGCTGCAGCTGCAAGCTGTTCCAAACAGATGGCAAATTTGTTGGAACTGTTATACCCCTAGCGGCACCACGGACCATGGCAGTAATTCTTGAGACATATGCTGGAGTGTATAGCTGACCACCTTCTAGCCTTCCTTTAACCTGAAAGGAGAATTTTCTATAGTGTCATTTTGCTTGAATGAGAACTGAAAATGCCAGGGTGCAGTAAGAAGGGTCTGTTCAGATTGACTGTAGCTATGGTCTCTTGCATGATTTTGCAGTTCTGTTGTAAAGTATAAAACACAACTCATAATACATTTTTGACTTTGGAGACATGAAAAGGCATCAGTACTCTAGAGAAAGGTAGAAACAATCAAACAAATAATTGGGACAATGATGATCTTTAGAAATGGCACAGCCACATAAATATTAGGAAACAGTGACTCGTGTACCAGAAATTAGGAAAAAAAATAATGTCCATAAATTGTGAGCTGAAGCAGCAGAAGCAGGAAAGGACTAAGCTCCTATAATTGTGTCTAAAATGCCCTCTTCGACTAATAACTTAATTATTAGGACAAGCTAACTAACTATCTCTATGATGCTTGGCATGGCAGATTACATCTAGATTATCGAAGTATAAATATAGATTAGCAGAAAAAATAGCCAATGATAAAAACCATTAAAAGGGTAGACTAGCAGACTTACAATAGTTCCAAGCCGAGGCTCAAGGATATTGACAACCAGCTCTGATCCAATATGCAACTGGGCAGCAATCTCAGCCAAGGCAATCTGGCTGCGCTCCTGCAACTTCTCATTTATCTCTTCTGTCACAGTGTCCCAGTAAGACTGTGACATGATCTCGCCGTTGATCAGCATAAGAGATGGATCATCTGCAACGACTTTCTGTGACTGTCTCTCAACATGGTAGAGGTCCACCCCCAGTATATCTGACAAATCTACCAGTGATGCACGTCCGCGTTTCTTGATCTCCATCTTGATCTCATGTTTCAGATGGTCCTGCCAAACCAAGTTGAGCATGAATAAGCTAAGAACAATGAATCCTCAGTTAAGCAAGTGCTTTGAACTGAACTGCTGAAGAGGAATATGTAGTAATAATCAATAGGTAAAATTCCACCTAATCTCTTCAATTTGCACAGACATTAAAATGTACATGTGGACCAGAATATCTAAATACTAAAACCAAATTATGAGTCCTCACAAAATATAGATAGAACACAACCAGTATCCGATTCGGAAATGCCAATTCCATCCAACCAAATTTACATGTTGTTCCCTGCTTCGAAGTGAAAGCTCTCTCGCAATAATCTAATGGTCGGCATCCTTTAATCGCAATCATCCCAAAATTGTAAGTCCAATTTTCAGTTCAGTACCTAATACTAGCATTAAAGCAATCAAGGAGGAGGGGTACTCAGTATCGGCAGTGTTTAGATTCGACATTTTGACGATACCGAACGCCCATAATTTCTACGCGGAGTCCATCATTCCCATTATTAACATCATTAGTCAATACCAGAGTCCCCAAATCCAGAACAATCTACACTGCGTTGTATGTATCAGAGGCTGTTTTACAGGTAAATCTGATTCTAGCGAAAGTATCGGCGAGGGATTGGGGAAGTAGATAGATGGAGAGATGCGGCGAGGTGAGGGTGAAGGGAAGGGGAAGGCGGGGGCGTACGGATGTGATGTACTCCTTGCCGGAGGTGGTGTGGAGGAGCTCGAAGTCGATGATCCCGCGCTCCTGCAGCTTCTGCACGAGCTCCACCACGTTCCGCTCCGACAGCCGCACGCTCGACCGCGCGCTCTGTGCCGCCTCCAGCTGCCGCTGCAGCTCCAGGAGCTCCGCGTCCATCCCTCGCTATCTCCCTCTCTGTCTACACGGCTACGCCACTCTCGCCGTAGCGTGGTGATGATGCCGCCGGCGACGTCGACGGCGACGGCGAGCGGAGGAGGAGACGGTTGCCTTGCCGCCGGCGAGGGCGAGATCGAACGAGTTCCACGATTCACTCGTGTTAGCGTTTTGGGGGAGAAGAGAACGACGAGGGGGTTATCGCTGACAGGTGGGGCCCACGATGGTGACCTTTCTGCCCCACACGTATTCTTGCTAAGAAGGCGTATTAGCTGATATTACGTTTCCGTCAGACGAAGGCATATGGCGTAGTATCTTTCTCAGTGGCGGATTGCACGAGTAGCAATAGGTAGTAAACATTAAACATCTGAAACTGAAAGAATTTTGATTAGATAGAAATCATGTCACGAGTGCGATGGTCTCAATTACAACATCAATTCCAAGCAACAAAGTGAGAATGTAGGATAAAAAAATAAAAAAATAAATTGAGAATGTAAATAAGAACTTATTTCTTCCGCACTTGTACTGAAAAACTCTCAGTGCAACAAGGGGAAAGAAAATGCATCAGCTCCAGAGAAAAGGAGTAACTACTGTATTGTTTTCTTGTGACGCCAATCTCTCTCCCTGTTTATTTTATGATATTAGAGAAGAATTCAATCTGCAGAAGAAGATCAAATAGGCACATTAGGAATGTCTGCGATGATCTCAATTAAGCAGTGGAAAATGATGATTGTCAACAATGGATGGTTGAAAAGGGAGATGCTCGATTGATTTCCTCTTTTGCCCACCGCAGCTTTGCAACATCATGTTTGTGTTTGGCATAAGATGATCTGAATGCGCACTTACATCACTATTGTTCATTTTCATGATTTTTTGGCAGCAGTCTTCATCATTTCATAGAGAGCAAAGCCACCACGGTGGCAACCAGGCATTCGGTCGGTCATTCCTAGTAGCTCTTCCTGTGATTCAAACATACAATTTGTGGTCAGAGGAATCCTAAAGCCACATGGGGATCAAATTGTGCTGCTAATTCGGTTTCCAAAAAAAAAAAAGAAAAGAAAATTGTGCTGCTAATGCAACTAAGCTCACCTCTGAGACTGCATACATCTTTGTAGATTCAAAACCATCTTGAGCTCTAGAATATAATTCATGCACTCCACCTGAATCTATGTTGCATTTTGTAAAAAAGAATGCAGTTGGCCTAACATTCATCTCCCGGCGAGAAATTCCAATGAAGACAGGCTCTGTCTGGGTGAAATTAAATGTGGATAATTAGCCCCCAAAAAACATACAAATCTCCTTGTATGTGGTATGTAGAAACAATTAAAAGAACAATTTGATAACAACTTGCCAGCTTATATCAAGGGAAAATATCTAGTGCAAACCACATATATAGTGAAAACTTGGAAACTACCGTTGGATCGAGAAATGAACGTTCGAGATTCGTTCACGTCACCCTGAGTTAAAATTTAACTCGCAGATTCACTCATGAGTTAAAATTTTACTAGGAGTTAAATTTTAACTCATGGTGACGTGGACGAATCTCGGACGTCCATTTCTCGATCCAACGGTAGTTTCCAAGTTTCCACTACATATGTGGTTTGCACTACATATTTTCCCTTATATCAACCAGTAAACTTCACAAAAAAGCTGATGGATTATATGCTGACTGCTGATGTAGTATTTAGCTGTATACAAGACAAAGTGCAGGTGGGTCTGTTACCAGTGAATTAGAAGGCACTCCAGTTTCCTCAACTACCTCACGGATGATTCCATCAAACATCTCTTGGGAAACTCTTTCGTTGAGAACAGCAAGGTCCTTTTCATCAGTTTGATGTGCCAAGATTCCAATTTCTTGTGGCTGATATACAGATGAACTTCAGTTTCATAAGAACCATGTATATTACTGAGCGACTACTCAATCAATAATCCCGTAAGTCATGTAGAATCAAAATACCAAAGACTTTCAATAACTTAGGTCCACCATTTGTCTCAGTAGATGTTTTTACATTACATTTGGGAGAAAAATATCATACAGTTATCCAATACAAAATTAAGAATTAGATCACCTTGCTGAACCAAATATAGATCTAACTAGGGGAAAAAATAAATTTTACCTCGGAATGTCCTCCAGGAAAAACAAAGTAACCTGGAAACTCCCCAACATTGTAGCTTCTTTGCAATACGATGATCTTTTCATCAGATGTTTGAACAATTGCACCATTTCCCAGTGGATTCGACATGTGTTGGCAATGCACAGAATCATCTAAACAGATCAGATTGTGAGAGGAACTGTTTTGCTCAAGGCTGATTTGTGCTATGTAGTATGAGCATATGCTATGTACTGAAAATTTATGAATATTTTTTCGTGGGGCAGTAATTTCATCAGCATAATGGAAGGTTAAACATTATATAGAGGAAAACAATATACGAGAGTGGTAGGGGAAACAACATGGGATGGATATGTCTTAAGAAGTTACATTTTCAAAACTCAAAAGGTAAAGCAATGAAACAAAAAGATAAGTCCTGACTCCCGAGATAACATGGAACTAAAGATGGAAAATTTGAGGTGAAAACAGGCCCTGATCTAAGTAGCACACGTGATTAAGTTTCTAAAATCTAGTTACCTTCAGATGGGACCAAAAATTTCTCCCACAATGGATTAAGATTTGTTCCCACAAATGTGCTGTCATGTGCAAGGAAATAACATCGTTATAAACAGAGATATTAGTTGGGAATACCACATAGAAGGTTAGAACGACAATGTAAAACAGTTGAGAAAGTATGGCTGCCAGAATTTATTTTCCAAAAGAGTAGGTAACTAGCTATTGTAATAGAATGTGAAATCCCAAGCGAACCTGTAATCTGTGAGACCCAAATGAAGTGAAACACAATACTCCTTATTTGGTTCATCTTTGTAGTGCACAGCGTGTCCTCCATACTGAAATTAGTTGGAGGCCAAAGTATGAAATCTAGTACTTAAAGAGATATCAGCTGAAGGCAGTATATTCCAGAAATTTTTGCAATCGCACCTGTTCAGCTCAAAAAGAAACAAGGCAAGCTAAAGAAATGGCCATAACCTACTTAATATTCGTTGTTAGGTAGAGAAGGCAAAGATTATTTGGATGATGACAGATTATGGGAATGACTGTGATTATGTTGTCTAAAAAATTGAACAATGGAATTTATTTGTGTTACAACATTTTTTTCTATCGACATAACAAATATATTGTAACTAACAGTAATTCATGATCACAGGAAAGTGTTTTCATATTTGCATTCAAAGGTGCCTTTTCTGTGTCATAAGATCTAAATACTATTGGACTGTTCATGAAAAAACACAAAGTTATACTCACAAAATGTGTAAACACCTTATAAATCAAAAAAATGGTGTGAGCTCAATATAAGGTGTTTGGCAGTAATTTCAAGCACCACAATGGAGCAGGAAAACGGAATATCAAGATATAACTAGGAGGTAAATACCCGAAATTTTGTGCCGCTGTACGACGACGGGTTCTGCTTAAGTCTCTGGTTCCATATCTACAGGACCAAAGAAATATAAACAACATCCATGCGTGCTATTGGATCAACAATCACTAGAAGTGCATAGGCAGACAATTTATACCACACTTATTGATTCTTCCAAGGCTGCATCCGGATGGGGAATCCGATCGAATGACTGATCAAATTTAACCGAAACCTGCAAATCCACATACAACATGAGCAATCATCGAATCGACCCCCAACTAGTATCGACAATATCATAGCATTTCTCCTTAAGAAGCTAAAGAAATCCGTAACACAGTCAACACGATAGTAGTAGCTATATAGTACAACAATCCAAGCAGCTAGCTAAAAAAAAGGCAATTATTTTTGCAAAGTCTCTCTTATATGGACATGGTAGTTCAAATCCATATGAGCATGTGGAGTGATGAATAATAATAAGCTCTAATAATACTAAAAATAAAAGGAAATGATCGGGCAGTTGCTTGTTATTATGTACTGTACTAGATCGTGTGCCACCAAGAAAGAGTTGGAAGAACAGCGTGAGGGGCAGAAAAAACGGCAAAAGGGCAAAGAAAGGGTCAGATTTGCCGCTGCCGCCGTCGAATCGGGGGCCCCGGGGAACAGCAGCATCAGCAGGTGCTCATGCAATCAGACGCCGGGAGAGAGAGAGAGAGAGAGAGAGAGAGAGAGAGAGAGAGAGGTTGTGTAAGGAGGGTTACGCGGGATCTGGGGAGGCCGGCGGGGCAGGAGAGGAGGAGCTTGTACGCCGCGCCGGGGTCGGCGGCGGCGGCGGCGGAGGCCATGTGTCGTCGTGTGGATGCGGCGGAGAGGGAAACGGCGAGGTGGCGCGCAGCCGCCGGCCTCGTCGTCGGCGAGTACTCAACTCTGCCGCGGTGAGTCTCTCCGGTGTCCAGACCACAAGCAGCAGCAGCAGAGAGCATCTGGACCGTCCAATCTACTACGATCCAACGTACCAGATTAATCAGCGATAAAAAAAAGAAAAGAAGAAGACGACCACAGTGGGAGTCGAACCCACGACTTTCTGATCCGAAGTCAGACGCGCTAATCCACTGCGCTATGCGGTCTTCACATCATTAACATTTACTAAGCATTATTCATCCATTTCGTCTTAACACCACCTATAAGAAACTCCTCTTCTTCGTCAGAATCAACGACTAAGCCGTATTTGATTAAGCTTAAAATTATTATAATCTGAATTATTATGAGTAAACTGAAACAAATAAATATAGTTATCAAAAGTAGATGGAGGGAGTATAATCCAGCTTAGAGTAATCTAATTTAGTAATCTAAATTATAATAATCTTAAGCTGAAACGAACAGGACCTAAATCATCTTCACACGTCAAAACTTAGGTACAATGCATACATATCTCATAGAAAAGAAAACAACCGACTCTCATGCTGACAGATATATTACATACATGAGCGGGTAGTAAAATGTTGGTGTTAGGGGAGCACGCTTATGTGAGTGCGAGTGTACCATACGGCATACGTGTATATATAGTGTGGTACATGTGTTTATGTTTTATGTAACTCGTATTATGTTCGTGCTTAATAATAGTTTATTTATATAGAGGCTACAAAGGATGATAGATTAAGGCCATGTTTCTTTCAGCTTGGGATTATTATAATCTAAATTATTGAGTCAGATTACTATAACTTAGATTGTTATAATCTGTAATAGAATAAGCGGTTAGTTGTTTCTTTTCTAGATTATTAGAGCCTAAATTATTAGGGTTTGCCAGTCTAAAGAGGGAGTGGGGTGGCATGGTGGGTAATTTTCACCCAATAATATGAAAAAAGCTCACCTAAATGAGCTTATCAGATTATAATAAGCTGGGCTCCAGATTATAATAAGCTACTTCAATACGTTGTCTGTTTCTTTCAGATTACTCCCAATAATCTGGATTATAATAATCCCAAACTGAAAGAAACAGGACCTAAGACGGTCGAGATTATCATTTTCTTTTTAATCATTTTACTCTGGGGACAGCTAGCTGTGCGCGTAACACTTTTATTTAGAGTAGTAGAGCTTATATAAAAAAAATAGTAGCTGCAAATCTAAGTCGAGAAAAACTAACTCCTAATAATCACAAAAGGAAGAAAAAAATTCATTGAATATAAAAGAAGTAAACTTTACAAAAGAAAAGAGCTGTACATACAATGAGCCTTTGGTCTGGCCTAGCTAAATTAAAATTTAAGCCAATCGTGGAGAATTATCGCGCCTGCCAAGACCCAAATTTTGGCCTCCTCCTTCACCTTTGCTAGCAAGCTGGTCATCGGGAGCTCTTTGTGCTTATGCAGTTTCTTTCATTCCAAATCTCGCAGGCCACTAACAAAGTTAGGGTGTGTCGCCTTTTTCGGAACTCCTAATGTGTTTGTTGTGTTCTCCCACCATTATAGCACTGTCGAAGCATTTTGCCAGTGGTTAGGGTTTAGCTGGTCGCAAGCCGTCCTGTTTGCTAGCGATGCCCAAAGCCTTATGGTGTACCTACAGAATTATTGAGATCGATATTTATCATGCAAGGCAATATATATGACATCAATCAAGCCTCAAATTAATACTATATAAAATGTTATCTCATAACCTCGCAGCTTACATTCATAATCTTTCTACCACATTCCCATAAGTAAGTGGTAGGAAGGATGTCTACTAAAACACACCCATGAGAATAATCTCTTCCAGCTTACATTAAAACTCGTGTAAACCAAGGAGTAATTATTCTAGGAGCAAATATTGATGCATCCATCGCAGCACACGCCCAACAATGGCGGCGGGCCGGGGGTGATGGGGTCCGGCCCTCGGGGAACCTTCCTCAGAATCGGGAACTCCGTCAATGGCGGTGGCGGCGGCGGCGGGTCGGAGGTGATAGGGTCAGGACCCGAGGGGACCTCCCTAAGAACCGGGAACTCCGACAATGGCGGCGGCGGCGGCGGTGGGTCGGAGGTGATAGGGTCAGGACCCGAGGGGACCTCCCTCAGAACCGGGAACTCCGACAATGGCGGCGGCGGCGGGTCGGAGGTGATGGGGTCCGGACCAGTGGGCACCTTCCTCAGAACGGAGAACTGAGTCGGCGTCGATGGCGGCGGCGGCGGAGGCGGGTCGGAGGTGATGGGGTCAGGACCCGTGGGGACCTTCCTCAGAACGGAGAAGTCGCTCTCCCCGCTTATCGCCGTCGGTGGGGTTGTGATGATGATCGGCGGGAGCTCGCCGGGCGGGCCGCCATGGACGGGGCGCGCCGCCGTCGCCGTGGAGGACAGCATCATCATCGGCAGGAGCGCCAGCAGCGCCGCCGCCGCCGCGGCGACGTTGTTCCTCTCGACGGCCATGGCCATCGGCGAGCTCTCACTTTGCTTTGCTTAAGTTGGATGTGTTTGCGAGTGAGATGATCTCCTTGCGAATCAAGCGAGGGGTATATATAGCGCGGAATTGCAAGCAAAAAAAGAAAAAAAAAGAGAGAGGAGAATTATTATTTTTTATTACAGTATTAATTTGGTGGTGAAGGAGTGCACGATTAGGAGTAAATTAGTTCCATGATTAATGGAAAATATTGTACGTGCATTTGCTGATTCCAGATTTGAGCATTTGAAAATGCGCCGTTTTAATGGATGATTAATATGCAGTCCATATATATAGGGGAAATTAATTTTTGATTTGGTGGTAAATGACCAAGGATTATATATAGGAGCAAATTGAATCTGTGATTAATGAAAAGATTAGCTGTGCCGCTGCTGCTGACTGCATATGATTCCAGATATGATCAAATTGGATATGCACCATATTAATGGAGGATTATTTTTTTAAAAAAAATGGAGGATTAATGCAGGGCATATATATCTATTAATGGAGGATTTATTTGCCGTAATGATATGGTTTTTAATAATAAAATATTGCCCATGATATAATACAGGTTATCGTGTCTTGTTTAGTCTCTACTGCTATTATGGGAATAAAACGAACATGATACTGTACGCGATTTGGCTGGTGTATTATCTATCGGCGTGCTACAAAATTATGTGATTTTTTTTTCAGTTGAACCATTTCCAGAGAGACTGTTTCTATAATTAATTAAAAAAATTTAGCTGATCCTGTAAAACCGTAAAACATGTTACCGTGGAAGTGTGCAGAAGTGATAAACCGGTTTTGCTATTTTAAGAAGTATAAACACACCATATCACTGGTGGAGAAATCATCTTTGGTCGGTCGACCAAATTCCACAATAGTCCCGGTTGCAATAAAAACCGGGACTAATCTTTAGTCCCAGTTGAAAAGGTTAGAGCTACTTTTTTATCTTTAGTCCGGTGATCATCTTTAGTACCGGTTAAAAAACGGTAGGTGATATCAAACCCCTCTAATATCTTTAGTCCCGGTTGATGTTACCAATCGGGATTAAATATCAATCTTTAGTCCTGGTTGGTGTTACCAACCGAGAAAAAAGATCAGCATGCGCGGAGAGATCGAGGCGTGCGGGATCGAGATACATATCTCCTCCTCCCCTCCTCCCTCCCGGTTCTATCTGTTCTTCTCCTCCCCTTCTCCTCTCCTCCGATATCCTCTTCTCCTCGCTATCTTACACGCGGAGGATCCTCTCCTCCTCCCCCTCCTCTCCTTCTCCTCCCCCTCCCCCCTCCTCCCCGATCTGCAGGCGGCGGCACCGCGCGAGGCTCCTCCTCCCCCTCCCCCCACTCATCCCCGATCTGCAGGCACAGCACCGGCCTCGCGCGGCGGCTGGCGCGCGGCGCTGGCTGGCGGAAGGCGGAAGGCGGCGGCTGGGCGGCAGGCGGAAGATGGCGGCTTGTTTTGTTTTTTTTTTGAAAATTTGTGATCCGGATCTAAGATGTATTTGATTTGTGTGT